GGTCAACTGGGATCAATTAGTAACAACAACACTGAGGCTTTTACCTGTGTACCCTAAGAGGTGAATGAAACGGCCACCAAAGCCAGGATATGGCTGGCCAGGCCCGTTGGACCCAGCTACAATGATGAAAAAGGATTGCTGCTTTCTGGATTCTTTTAAAATATATTTAGATGGAGAGTGAAGTACTTGTGAATACACAAGTTTTTGTTCCCATTTAAACAAAAGAGTTTTGCAAGTAAGGGCAGGTTACTGAGACTTACCAGGATAAAGTATAAGAGTGATGTAAAACAGGGGAGTGGGTCCAGGAAGAGTGTTATTAAGTGGCTGAAAGAGTTCAGAATAAGCATCCATACTTGGAGAAAGATGAGAAAGAATCTGGAGGATAAGAGATCAATATACTTAAAAAAAAAAACCAAAAAAGTACACAAACATGACAACAGCATCTGTATTTCCTCTGAACATAAATTCAGTAGAGATACTGATAAAAATCTTTTCTGCGTATGGTTATAAGACACTGTAAAGCATTCGAACACAGTTTTGTACTTCCTTCCACTCTGATGCAGTACCTTGGATTTCTTCAATTTTTATACAGCCTGGCCCTCATCTAATTTCTCCATGGCTCAACAGCTTCATGATGCTTCCAATGCTCTTCAACACTTTGGAGTCAATTTAGCAGGTTTTAATCCTGCAGGACTTGTCCTGCTGGAGAAACTTCCATATTATGGTGGTTCAAGGGGTAAGACTGGCACTGGAACTTACTCTGTTCTCTGCTATATTCATGTCACCCACTTTTTGCAACCTAATAAGCCCACGTGTTTAACTTTGCTAAATTATGTAGAAAACCTTCTATTATATTCCACTTTAGGCATCCAAGTACAATTATGTATATCACAAGTGATTATTGATTTCAAGAAACATTTGTGCATAATTTTTAAACACTATACATATCATAATAAGAAGTAGACTACTACTAATTAATAATGGATGTTTGTTTTTTTTTTTTAATCCAGTGGAATAAGACAAATTGGAAGGGAAAAAGAAAGGATGCAATGTTCGACAGCTGCTAAAATTGATTTTAGGCATTTTATATCCCTTTTCAACATGGAAGGGCAGAAAAGTGTGACTAAAGCAAGACTAAAGTGACTAAATCAGTAACAATAATTTGCCTGGATAAACAAGAGTTTATATTCATGGCGGAAGATGTCATGTTTTTTTTGGAAAACAAGACTCAGAATTCACATGATCATCTCATCATTTTTCAGTGAACTACAGAACCCACGAATTACAATATAATACTACTAAGCCTGGCCACTGAGGCTTCATAGTTCTACTAGCATGAAAAGAGCTACTTTGTGCTCCTCCAAAAGGAAACCTCCCAGCCATTCTTGGGGTAGAGCAAAGTGACATATTGCATGTCATGAAGTAAAGCAAGAAAATTAGCACCCATAACAAAATTACACATTTTCATAGTTAATAACTGATGTTCACAGCTGGAAAAAACAAGGGCAGAGAGAGCAGCTGATTATCTAACACAGGCCTCCATAATTGCAAACAGCTAACACCCAGAGCTAACATCAGACATCAAGGAAAGTAAAAATCCTTCTGGCCATTCTGAAAACTCTGAAGGTCAGAATTAAGAAGAGCAAAACCACATGATCAACAAACCACAATCAAGTCCCTTTATAATCCCGTTCTTAGGACGGCAACAAAACAGACATGTAAAGCTGATATCACAAGGTTTTCTAATATCACAATTCCTCCACTTCTATGAATCAATCAAATTTGTGTACTCCTTAAAGCCAAACACTATAGATACTGTCCTCGTAATCCTGTTTAGAAATGAAACCCACTCCAGAATGCTATTCCTCTAACAGAGGGCATCTTCTATTCAGTAAATCTTTGTCCTTACTGATTTGCACAAACTTTCTCTTGAGTAATAATTTACCCCAGAACATATTTATGAAGAGATACATAAGATAAATAAGAGATAAATAAGGACACCTTATTTTTTTCATAATAACCCTACAAAAATCATGTGCTCCCATGAATAGCACATTACAACAAAATTAGCAAATAATATTTTTGTATCAGAGTACTAAAAGGCAAAGTGCTTAATTTTCCTAAAATCCCTTGTGTGAGAATTTTTGCTTCATTTTTCTAGAGATCTTTTGTAACTTAATGTATATTACAGTAGCCAAATATTTTAATGCATACATTAAATGCCATGTTAATTGTTTATATCGCACTTGTGAAGCTGTAACATTGATTTCTTGAAATCCTAAATGCTGAGATCTGCCTCATCCTCTTTCAGTAGCAGCAGCATATTGCAATGCAGTCTAACATAGCCATTAATAGCACGTTGCATTACAAAAATCAATGTAATCATAAAAGTTCCTTTACGCACATAAAATACTGCTCTTTTATGAGACAAATAAAGATTTAATACACTAATTTTTACTTAGAGTTTTATTTCCATTTGGATTTGAAGAATTCCAGCCACCAGCAGGTGGTGTTTCTGAATATGTCAACTATTTTTCCCCCACCCCCCTGAGATGAAAGGCAAAACTCCACCTGCAGCACTGGTGTTTGCATGCAAGACTGAGGCTCCACATCCTCTGCAAAATCAACTTATTGACACATGTGGTTGTGAACTGAACAATTCTAAGACGGGTCAAGATGAGGATGTATTCCTGAAAAATTAAATACAGGCAGGAAAATGGGAGCAATTTGAAGGTAGGAAAACTGAAATCCATACTATCAGCTTAGTATATGATATTTGTCATCTCCTGTGTTTCTATCAATCTAATATTTCTAATATTTCTTTAGACTGTTAGGAGTCTGAAAAGAATTACATACATAACCATAACTGCTGTTTTATGTGTACGTACAATATGCTTAGTTGTAAATAAATCTCTTAATTATTGATCAGCGGAGTCGTATGTTCAAATGGGCTATCTAATGGGAAAAAATGCTAAAGGCAAAAAAGGGGAATAAAATGAAAGTTGAGAAGAACAGAATTGAAAATACAAGATAGAAGCTGCAATAAAATAAAGAAACCAGCAGAAACAGGGTTAATTCTAGCCTTAGAAGGCTCTCCAGCACCACTTCAGCCGAACACAAATTAGAAGGACCCTGGGAATCTATAAAGCTTGTTTTATTGCCAAGGACATGCAGCAAGATCTTCATTTTGCTCTTGTAAACTGTCATTCACTCAAGGTATTTTAAAACAGCATCAGCTTTTATTTGAGTTTTTACTACTGAATTGTCAACAGGTGGCTTTCATTGCAGCTTTGCACACCTAAATACAAGTTTTTACTGACACTACAGCTGAAGTCGATGCATCCATTTAAGCGTTCTCTGAACAAGAACCAGCTTTCTGGCATCTGGAAGAAAATCAGCTCTGCAGAAATGGCATTAAGGTAAAATGAAGTATTTCACAGTACATAGTTACCTGTAATATTTGCTATTGCTTGGCTTTTGGTGGACTTTTATACATAATTGAAATGTGACTATAGACCTATCTTTTAAAAATCAATTTGTAAGACTATTAACTTATCCCTTATTGCATTTAAAGCAGTTTACTGCCTCAGTCAGAAATAAAAGGATGTTATATAAACGACATAAAAGGTTCATGTCTGACCTTAACAGCTGCTTGAAACAAACACCAAGCCTTCCTCAAATAAGTGTAATTTCATAGGGATGTTCATGTGTATAAACATTTACATTATGAAATGCCGTATAATGCAGTAAACAAGTCTAATATACTGAAGCCTATTTTGCTAAGAAGCAAAAGCTCTGAAACTTCGCAGATACTGTTTTAGTTAAGTATCAGCTAAATACTGCTGAAAACCTGAAAACATTTTTTAAAAACCTTAGAGCTATATTGCTGAATAAAAATACTCTAACACTCGTATTTCATTGGTGGTCTGCTCTTTTGCCTCTCCCTGACTCTTGTCAACAACACTTAGAAACATTAAAATGTGGAAATGAGCATGTCTTTTACTAATAAACAGTTTAATATTTATATATGTTTTTAGTATAATTAAAATGAAAATTTAGGTAGTAAGGTAATGACTCAAAATAGTTAAAAAACAACTTTAGCATAAAATGCTTTAGGTTATCACTTTTTTTGCAATTCCATTTGCTTGAGGCATGTTTTCTTTTTAAATAAACTTCTGGTAATACTTCAAGTCTGTATCATTTTATACTTTAAAAAACACAAATAGGAAACACTTATGAATAAATAAATAGAAAAAAATGTTTTTCATTCCTTTCTGGAACTCAATGCAGTATAGTTAATCATAAATACAAGAAAACTAACTATAATAATATTGCGTTAATAAACACACTGCATGTATTACTTTCATTTCTAAACATTTCCCTTTTCCTCTGCTCTGCAAACGGATGGAATCAATTGCTTTTCCTCTGTGTTGTCTTGTCAGCCATTGACTCTGCTACTTAATAAGGTTACTTGCTGATGATAAAATAAAAATACATACCTATAAAGTTTGCTTCAGAAGCAGTAAGCAGAAAATCTTCTGATTTTCTATAATGTTTCCTGTTACTAAGGGTATGCAAAATTTGAACAAATCTATTTTTAACTGAACCCCATCTTTGCGTGTGTGTGCATTCAAACATGCTGTTTTCTACACCTCAGCTGCGTATGTTAAGTTAGGGAAAGCATACGGTACATGGCAATGCTGGGGTATTAGATTAATGGATTTCCATTTGCAAATTGCAGGTCCAAGGATGATCATTCATAATAAAAGAAAACAAATGGAGCTAAAATTCTACTATCTTCCCACCTGCAAGAAGAAACACTATTGATGCTGACTGATAAAAAGTTTTTATTATAGAAATCCAAGTATCATTATGGTAAAAAGATTTCTACGTGATCTTAAGGCATACAGGAACTTAAAGTACTCTCATTTGCAATGTATATACTGTTCTATAAAAAAAAATAATTAAGAAATTTGCTTCTTGCACTGTTTCAGCCATTCAAAATGATTACTACGAACTACTTTGGAAACATCAAAAATTTAAATTTTTGGCATCCCTAACCAAGTGTGAGTACTGATATCTTTTCTGCAGATATTTGAACCATGGAAACTTACTCAGCCTCCATATCACCTATTATATGCAACAGCACAACTTTTAACCTAAACGGATCATATTTGTGTAATGAAAGTATATCTTCTAGATTGGCTGATAAATCAGAACACCAACAATATGTTATCGGACTCTTCCTATCATGCCTTTATACAATATTTCTTTTTCCTATCGGTTTCGTAGGAAACATTCTGATCCTGGTTGTAAACATAAGCTTTCGTGAAAAAATGACCATTCCAGACCTTTACTTCATAAATCTTGCAGTAGCTGATCTCATTTTAGTTGCCGACTCCCTCATTGAGGTTTTTAATCTTGATGAGAAGTATTACGATATCACAATTATTTGTACCTTCATGTCTTTGTTTCTTCAGATCAACATGTACAGCAGCATTTTCTTTCTGACTTGGATGAGTTTTGACAGATACCTAGCTCTGGCAAAAGTAATGAGGTCCAACATATTTCGCACTATGCAGCACGCTAGATTAAGCTGCGGTCTCATATGGATGGCGTCTATTTCTGCAGCGCTAGTTCCATTTACAGCCGTGCATCTGCAACACACCGGAGAGGTCTATTTTTGTTTTGCAGATGTAAAAGAAATCCAGTGGCTAGAAATAACCTTGGGGTTTATCATTCCCTTTGTGATCATCGGTCTTTGTTACTCGCTAATTGTGCGCGTTCTCGTAAAAGCCCACAAGCACAGGAGTCTCCGGCTGCGGCGCCAAAAGGCGCTTCGAATGATTTTTGTTGTCGTCTTGGTTTTCTTTATCTGTTGGTTACCTGAAAACGTCTTCATTAGTGTTCAACTTCTTCAAAAGAAAAATGAGCCTGTCTCTTCCAGCAGCCCATCTTTCAGGCATGATTATCCTTTAACAGGACATATTGTGAACCTAGCAGCTTTTTCTAATAGCTGTTTGAACCCCTTAATTTACAGTTTTCTAGGTGAAACCTTCCGAGACAAACTGCGACTGTATATTGAACAGAAAACTAAAATGTCAACGTTACATCGCTTTTGTCAGGCTGCCTTAACGTCTGTCATTCCTGACAGTAACGAGCAATCAGAAGTCTGACTTGGTACTGGTTGTATAGAAAGTATGACTGAAACCGTGCAAATAATGAACAAAACGCTTGCTACTAACAGAAAAATGTGTGTTTGTGTGTATTATATTATATTGCCCTCCTGATACCGAAGGTTTATATTCCAAATGTTTTTATGACAAGACTTTAATGTAGAAGAATACGTTTTAGTCATATTTGTATTTAATTATGAACAAGATTATTAAAAGCTGAGCACTGATGGAGCTTTATTTTGTGTTATACATGTATGAATGATAATATAGCGAAAAATTCATCAGGTTAGAAAGACCTGTAGTATAACTAGATTATCAAGATGATACTTTGCTGGCATATAAGGTACTTCCACATAAATAATGAAGCTGCCATAATAGTGGAAAAAATCATTATAAGGTATTGATGTGGAAAGGCAGAAAACATTGATTTTTTTCATCCAAATATGTTTAGTTAATGACTTTTCCTAGAACTATACAGTAAATTCTATTCTCGCATGTCTTCCAGAATTAACTTTTTTTTTTAATCTTAATATAATATAGAATGATGGTGAGCTTTCTCCTCATAAATGTAATCTAGTAGTACATGAGCATTTGATCAAAACTGAAATCATCATGTGTAACTCTACTGCTCCTCTCAGAGAACAGAAGCAGTATCTGATACTTCTTTTTGTTTTCTTAAGGACTGCTCAAGACAATCTTTCCCAGAACAGGCATAATCAGGCTCTTTGGTAAACATTCAAGCGCGCATACATGAACATTCACATTACTCTCCATACTGAAATGAATGTGCATGAGGTATCTTTACATTTAGCATGTATTGTCAGAACAAAATATTGTGGCTTTAAATGAAATCATTTCCTGCATAAGACATGGTAAGAACTGTTTTTGAAAGTGTCCAAAGTGTCACTTGGGGGAATAACTGAACTTCTGTAAAGGGGAATGCGATTAGTTATTAGAGTTCCACACTGTTCATGCCACGTCCCCAAACCACTGGACTTGCAAGATTTTAGATGCCTGCTCATCGCTTTGTTCATTTTGAAAGACAAGTTATACCAAGAAGTTTGGAGCACCACATATTTGAGAATAATAGTTCCAATTTCTACTAGAAAATAATAGGTTTTTAAATCACACACGTAACTGCTGAACTTGTTCATTGGATACTGGATAGAAACAGAGATCGGCATGTAAGACAACTAAAGTGTCCCTTAGGGTATCTCTGAAATGCACAAACTAATTTCACCTCTGTGCTCATTCGTTAATCACCAGATCTCTGCACAATAGATGTTTTGTCCTATTTTCAAATGTCCTATATGGCTTAATTAGTACATGAAAGAATGTTTAAAGATTTTTAAATCTTAGACACTTAAAAGAATTACTGAAATTGCTCTGCAATAGAGAAAAGAGTGATTTCACTCATATCTCTCATGAAACACTAAGCTTCTGAGTGGAAAATGAAACACTAAGCTTTAGCCACAAGAGAACTGACCACCAAACAGAAAGGCCACAAGAAAATGGGTTGATTTGAATGAATATCTAGATGTTCCCAAAACTGCCAGAAACAAGAAGCACAGAGTGGAGTTTGCTGCAAGTGCTGATTATTTGCAAGTGACCATTAAGTAATCATCTAAGAAAAAAAATAACTTAGTCACATTCCTGTAAAACACGGAGACATAGGGCTTACCTTCACTGTGTAGGACATGTTGATAAAGAACTGTTCTGCTATAATACATGTAGCCTTTTTTTTTTTTTAAATCTCCTTATTCTCATGTTTGGAATTAGCCACAATTATTCACATCTTATCAACTGCCAGTGTACATTAATTTCACCTTGAAATATTGGTATTTTGGCCAACACAGACTGAAGGAATGGGCAATTCTTTCAGTGATGCAGTCTCATGAAATAAGACATCTTCTGAGAATGCAAATGTATTTATTTGCCTGTGCAATATTGACACTTGCCATGAATAAAGTAATTGATTTGGGGGGTCACAGGAATACCATTTCCCAATTTTAGTTGTTGCCCACTTTGTTTTCATAGGAATAAACTCTTCCCACCTGCTTCAAATATAAGAATATAATTTTTGATCCAAGAAAGTGCCTATGTCCAGAAACTGAACATAATAACCAGATATTAATAGGAAATATCTGCTCACGCGTAGAATACGTGGTGTTTTTCTGCATTACCATATTCAGTAATGCCCTGATATCATAGTGAAATCTAGGAAAGATCAGATTATTATAATATAAATAAAGCATTATTTAACTGCTCAACTTGAAACGACCTATTACATATTTAAAACAAAATTACAAATATGAGCTATTTTATGAGTTTCCTACTGCTAATATTTTGGTTTTATATCTAAGTACAGGCTTATGAACTGTACCTCAAATCATTAAATTTAAACATGCTACTTGCTTTACATAAATAAAAAGTCCTCTCCTGGTGAAGAAAGAGCACATTTATCCCCTGATTTTTTTTTAATGGCAACTATGTAAAAAGTAATATTTACAAAAATGCCATATGGCTTCTATATTTATATATGTATTATATGTTATATATATATTTCATAAATGCTAATCAATTTGCTTTCTCCAGGCCATAAGTTTAAAGTAAGTTGTTGCCAAGTCTCGCCCATGTACAAAAACCCCTTTCTTATGCAGTTTTCTACAAAATTAAAAAGTGTGGTTGACAGTAAAAAAAAACCTTTCTGGGGTGTGCAGAGGAAATGGAAAACCAGAGTAAGAATTTTGACAAAATTTCTTCACTTAGCACTTCTCTCAAGTGACTCAAAAATTGTTTACTATAAATATTTGATTCTGTACCCTTTTCTAAAATGCTGGACTGATAACAAACACAAAATGTAAAATCTGCTTATGACAGATGCTTATAGTCTTTGCTCTAATAATCTCTGTCAAATCTACAGACAATAGAAGTCTAGTAAAAAAAAAAAAAACTCTGAAACATTTAATTGCTTTTGAAAATAACACCTTAAAGCAAAAATATGCCTCAAATGCACGAAGTATTACCAAATGTCAAGAGCAGAAATAAACCCAAATAGCCTGAACTAGCAGTAGGCTGAATCTGATGTGACTGAGAGCAACTGTCCTCCCTCAGTGGTGTAGAAAGCTGTGAGAAAAACACAGTTGTCTGAGACCATATAAGCACGTTAGAGCTGCTAAATTTTTGCACCCTGTTAACAGTTTTAGGAGTTATGCCAAATACCAGCTGTGCACGGACAGCACATGCACACGCAGGAAAAAGCAGAATTACTGTGTCTGAAGATGCAGTTTGATTAATTTATGAAAAGCATCACATAATGTGAGTGAATGTGAGAGGAAATGTGAATCAATGAGCCAGAAGATCCCAGATTCTAGGCAACGTGCAAGAAAATTCATCCCCTCGCTGCTGTTCCACACAGAATTTGGAAGACTAACACTCAGAATAGTTAATCCATCAATTCCAAAAGTGGACATAAACTACAAAATAAATATAGTTAGAATTCTTAAAACATTTTCCTTTGATTTGTTTTTACCAAGTGAAAAAAAAAAATCAGGCTCATCTTAAATTCCTCTTGTGTAATCTGACATATATTTTATTAACTGGAAACAGCTTATCTGGCATATAAAATCCATTCTACTAAAATTGCAAATAGGCAAGCTGAAAAATTTATGTTTTTTTTTTCTTTTTTAAGAAGAAAATACTTTTAAAGTTTCAGGTTCAGTATCTACCACTTAGCCAAAATTCACTGGCTGTGTAATGCGGGCTCTAATCTTTTTTCTGGCCATCAAATTATGTTAGAGGATAACAAATTGCTTTCCATGCGGGGATTTTGCTATAGTTTATCAGCTCTGCACATTGAGATTGCAAAAGAGAAAAAGTTGTCTGGAAAATTTTGAATGGTTAGGATTGTAACATGAGAAATGTGCTACAAAGTGGCTTACACTAAGAAAAAAACCCTGTTCGACCCTGATTATGATTTAACTCCACTTGAACTTATTTCTACATAAGTATAAAAATAAATCAGCATATGAAGAAGGCAGGTTTGAATTCTGATAGTTATTTGCAAAGGTGACAGAATTGAGTTGGTTTGACTTTGAAGGAAAACACTAAAGACAAGTATTTGATTTTAATTTGGAGAGAGCAAGTGTTTGAGGACAGCGGTTTAAAGTTTACAGCAATATTTATCCTGTAACTGGGGACAGTTTCCTCGTTTGATGCTTTAGATATTTCAAAGTAGCCTGAAGTCTTAATCAGGGGTAAATCCCGGTGATTTCTCACAGAAAGAAAATGAGACAAAGAACTATCTTTCCTATGAACTCCAAAAGTCTTACCTGACCCATTCAGGTCATCAGACACGTATTTAGGATTTCTGTCATAGCAACACATAGGGCTAAATTTACTGGTGTGAATATATTTTTGCAGTAGAAGTTCAACCTCACATTCCTACTTACATCCACAGCAGCTCACCACTACACAGTCAGACATAGCCACTCCTTGTTCAAACACTGTTTACTTCAAGAAATAATTATTTCATCGTTCTATTTAATAAAAGTCACCAATAAATGATTTCCATCTTGGGATTGTGCTTTATCTTTTTTATGCTTAATCTGCAACAACAGATGCTGTGAAGGTGTTATTTTAAAGACATATATACAGATTACCTTAGGTCACTCTTAGGTCTGTTGTCAGGGAGATAAACTACCATAAATGCCCCATATTATATTCTGAGGCCAAACACAACAGTTTCAAAAAAATGAACATTCTCCATTCATATTTATAATTTAGATGTCCTTTCTTCAGTCGTATTGTCCAAACTATTTATTCCACATTGACATACAGTTCACTAAACTTTTAGCCTTTGGCTTTTGGCTTCCTTTTAGACTTCCATTCCATCATATGGCAGTATGACACAGCCAGAAGCTAAGAATAAACAGCCCCATCCTGACCCAGCCACCCAAGATGACAACAGAAAAGCAATGCCTTCTCAGGACCCAAGATAGAGCAGAATCAGCCCATTACCAGTCTCTACTAACACTTCAGTTACTTTATGCACATCCAGTGAATTCCACTAGAGCAGCTTTAAAGATCATGGTCTGAGTCTCACTGTTCGATGTACCTGGTTAGAATAGCCACTGAAGGGTGTCAGGAAAGTCAACTCCAGTGATAAAACCATATCCTAGTTTCCACACTGTTTTTTCTCAAGTTGTTCAGCCCTCTACAGGTATATACAGTAGTTTTAAATTTAGAAAGCTACTGAATTATTTATTATCAAAAAAAAATGTATCTATAGAAGTATATAATTACTGACGATGAACATTTAAAACCTTTTTAAATGGCACAGAATATGCTTTCTGGAAGGACTTCAGAAAAACTGGTGGGGAAAAAAAAGACATACTAGAGAAACAGGAGCATTACTGGAGTACTGT